ATCTCTCTTTCATTAAACCTGCCTTTTTTAACAGGCCTCACGTGTGCAGTGGGGGAAATAATTATTTGAGCCCTTCCTGAGTTTGTTCATTTTTTTTGTAATTGAGACTGAATGAGCACCAAAAACCATTAAAACACACATTACAAAAGTTATACATTGATTTGTCCTTGAGTGCAATAAGTATTTGGTCCTGTACCACGCAGGCAGAATTCTGGCTCCCACAGATTGATACTGTGCCCATGTTCCACACAGATTACAGTCAATCAATTACAGACACTGACTTACTATCTGGAGGTTTCACCTTCATGCTTTGCATGAGGATCAAATACTCATTTCACTCAGTGACAGACTCAGTGGCTGAGGCCAGTTTACTTTTAAGGTAGTGCATTTTTGTTTTTGGTTTATACTCTGTCCTCTCCATTAAAATAAAAATACTACCATAAGAATTAGTGACTGTTCATTTCTTTGTGAGCAACTTAAACCGGGGATCAAATAATTATTCCCGACACTTTATGTATAAAAAGGTGAATTACAACTGTCAGTTGATTCGTTTTATAGTACAGTGCTTTCATAAAATGTAATTGTCAGTTAGAGAACGTCATATTTTGTCTGCTCTGTTTCACTGTTATCACTGTTTATGGTTTGATGTTCTGGGATCCTCATAAAAGGATAGATTTTAGCTTGGTGAAATATAGTGATTTATTTATTTATTTTTAAACGGAGGGGGGAAAAAGCCACAGTAAAACAGAAAATTGAAATTTTATAGTCTAGTCTTTCATGCAAAATGTAAAGCATTTGGCCGTCTTATGGAGCAAACTGAACTTCAGGTTGAATAACAACATTATCAGTCAGATGATTTCAGTACTGTGTTCTCTGTCCAGGATAAGTCCAGAGGATGCCATGGACTTTGGTGTTTCACTTCTCTTCTATGGACTGTACTACGGGGTCCTGGGAAGGGACTTTGCAGAGATGTGTGCGGACTTCATGGCTTCAACCATTGGGGTAAATGCACAAATTTAAAACTGTGTATATTTTCTCCTGGCTGTAACCTAAAATTTAATGTAGCTTTTCCCTCCCGCAGTATTACAGTGCATCTGGCATGCCAACCAAACACCTCTCAGACAACATCTGTGCTGTGTGCGGTCAGCCCATCCTTGTCGATGTCAGTGAGGAAGGGATCATTGAGAACACATATCGATTATCTTGCAACCATGTGTATCCTTCCTGTGACATTTACTGACACATTTTCGTGCCTTTAATGGTTACCGCTGAAAGAGAAGTTCAGGTGCGTGATGGAGAATTCTGTTGGTATAAAAGGTATGTCGTGGGTTGGCATGGAACTACACTGTGTACTCAAATTAACAGCTTAAAGAGGAATTGCCTGGGTTTACCTGACCTTTATGCCAGACTGTTGATGTCTCTGTTACTTCCCCGAGGATCTGTTGTGTGTTGTAAATGATACCCAGTGCCATTTCACGATTTTTGTTTTGTTTGTTTGTTTTGGATCAAGTTTGACACGTTCCTTGATGTATTCTTTATAGGAAATCAACTTTCTATTTAAAATGCTGTTTAAAATTTACCTCTATCTTATTTCCTTACAAAAAGATGTGACCAAAAATGCATTATCCACACCTGAAGATTATTCTTTTATTACACATAAAAGCAACACCAGGTTTAGATAAAAAAAACAAAAAAATTAAAACAAAAAACAACACATATTTGCAAAGTGAAATGTAATTATTAATTAATAGTGCAGTACAAGTGTCTCGCCCTACAGTGCAGTGCTATCTGTAGTTAAACTAGCTCAGGAAATTATCCTTTGTCCTTAAATTGTACTATTGTTTTGTATAAATAATTTAGTATCAGGTGAATGTTGTCCTTTTGACTTGTATTAGAGCATTAATGTTGGATGAATGTTCAAAGATCTCCGAGTATTCAGTATTTGAGCCTTAACTCCAAATCCAGGTTCCATGAATTCTGCATAAGAGGATGGTGTATCGTCGGGAAGAAGCAGATGTGTCCGTACTGCAAAGAGAAGGTGGATCTGAAGAGGATGTTCAGTAACCCGTATCCTTTTTATTCTGGGATTCTGTCTGCATTAGTTACATTTTTTTAAACTAAATATTGAATGATTCCTGAATTAGTTGTAATTTCAAAGATTCTAATGAAATAATAACTTTCTGCATAAAAATGCTGACAAAAACAGACCCTGTGAAGATTTTGAATTTACTTTTAAGTCCAAAACTAAGTATGACAGATGAGATCTGACAAAGCACTGAAACCTAATTATGCCAAGTCACAGCGCGCGCGTGCGTGCGTTCCAGACTGCTAAGTACAGGCTATTTCAAACAAACAAAAGCAAAGCATAAATTGTACACGAGGTTCCTGTTCCTTTTTGTGGGTTGGAAAAACACTTTATATAACTGACAAATACATGTTATATATAATTAATGATTTCTCAGGAGCTAATGAAGATTTCTGCTTCCTTGCGTTGTCACTGTGGTTACATGTTGACCTCTTGTTCTCCATTTATTTATCAATTCTGATTGTTGTCAAGGGTTATTTCCTTAACCATTTCTATTCTAGCTGGGAAAGACCGCACGTCATGTACGGTCAACTTTTAGACTGGCTTCGGTACTTGGTGGCCTGGCAACCTGTAATTATTGGATTTGTGCAAGGTATCAACTACGTCCTGGGTCTGGAGTAGCCGGCAAAAACCGGCAGAAACGGACACGCATACCATGTGGAGAAGATTATGCACTGGCTCAAAAAGACTGAGGGCCTAACATTGAACTAAAACACCAATTTAAAAAAAAAAAGTGTCTATACTTTTTGTACATATTTATAGGCACATATCTGTATTTGCAGTTTATTTGAATTTTCTTAGTAACCTAAAATTGGATGTGTGTCTCATTTTCCCAGGATTTGATTGGTCTGTATCTCATGGCCTAGTAAAGCGGTTTTTGAAATCATTAGAGGGTTTTTTTTACTAATTTATGTCTTAAGTGTTAAAAGGTTAAAGGATCATGCTGGAATGTGTCATCCTTGTGTCTGATGGTTATCAAACATGAGTAATAAGTATTTCCTCTGGACTCCTAAATATATGAACACTATATCCACAGACATTAGTTTCGCATCTGCTTTAGTTGCAATTCCTGCTTCACAGCGGTCACGTATTTTGACCACAAGTGGCACCAGTTTCATAAGGGCCTGTCATATGCCTTGTGGAGCCAAGTTGTAATCATATGTCAGAAAGTACTACTCATATTGGTAAGAACGGTACCTCCTACATTTACGATGGAAATTCTAGTGTTACTGGAATCCATGATGTCCTCTTTTAGGGAAACACCAATCTTTAGCCAAGTAGTAACAGAGTCGTTTTGGTTTGACCTTTATCCAGTGTCTCAGCATATGTGAGTGCTAAGTTAAATTCCCTTGCATTGTCTTGGTGTAGCAGAGATGATGATAAGGGAGGCAAATTTAAGTCAAAACTGTGTGTGGAGAGAAATCAACAATTCAAAGTTATAATGTAACTGAACTAAACTCCATCAAAAGTATTCAAATTAAATTTAAGATGAAAAATATCCTAGAATGATCCTTTAACCGGTGAGCATGCAGATGGGGATGGTCTTATTTTCACGTGGTATGTGCATTATCTTCCATCCTGAAATTTCTGGAAGAGAACGGTTGGTAATCTTTTTGTGGGTACCCGTCAGACTAAATGCATAAAGCAGTTGTTTTAGGGCCCATTTGTGCACCTCACCACCAGCTTAAATGGTAAAAGGACTGGGTGTAACCAGACCAAAATATGATCATTTTGTTTTGATCCAGACCGATTAATAAATGTCACTTCGATCATGTGTGTTTTGTCCATATGTCTGCGAGGTAGCATTCACAACCCTCCATAATGTCACAAAGAATTAGTCAACACATCTCATTTGTACTGTGTGGGTGAAAAGGGAAGTTGAGTTAAGTGCGTGTGTGTGCCCGCATACATATATATACAGTAATCTGAAACACTGGTCAGCAGCAAAAGACTCGAGGAATCGATATGAAGCTCTCATCTGCTGTGAAAGGTAAGGACTTATTATGATACCAAACAGTTTGTTTTTCTTTGCATTATATTCGATGGTGAACGTTTTGTCTCTGTAACAGTTCTGGGATCTCTGTGTCTGCTGCTCGTAGATGGATTTCCAGGTACAGAATAGTTATGTAATAGAAAAAAGTTTTTTGTTTTTTTTTTGTGTAGTAAGATTTTTAACCTTAGAATGTTTTGCAGTTTCTGAAGATGAATCTCCAGAGATAATTGGACCAGGGTTTGTCCAAATAAAAACTCATCCAGGTAACGCATCAAGCCTCTTTTGATGGGACAGGCTGTGTAGTTGTGAAACCTTTCTTCGATGTATGGATGTGTTCTGCCTCCTAGGTGCACCGCTGGTGCTTCACTGTGATGCGTTTGTAAACTGTGAGGACGATATGACTCTAATCTACTGGCTTGTCAATGACACCTTCCCCGAAGACGCCCCCAGCAGCGACAGGATAAGAGAATCTAATGAGTGAGTATCTTTGTTACAATTACAGTGGAAGTGTACATTAAATTAAAACAATTAAAACAGTCTGTAGCTGGGCTGTAATGGCTGTGTTTTCATTAGATCCACTCTAGAGGAGGGTGCAATCCTTCAGAGGAGTTTGCTGTTGAAGAACATCACATCCGAGGACCTCAAATCCACCTTCACATGCGTTGTGACAAATGCTGTGGGAGTGGCCCAAAAACACATTAAATTAATATCAACACGTGAATGACTGAAGATAGTAAATGACAACTGTGTAAAAGATCTTGATTTTCTGTCCTCTGCCTTGTGATATAAGTCATGTCTGTCAAGAGTCAACATTGCATGTCAGCATTTTCATGTAATACTTTTGTTTGGCAACTTGTGGATGAACTCTGCTGAAGAGCTGGATGGTTCAAAACCTAAACTCCAGTTACGCTCAAAGGTAAAGCAAGTAGCTGCTGAATGCTCTCCTTTATATCAATCTGACAAACATACAGAGGCGCCATCTGATGTAGCAGTGTTGTGGTCCAGTTGTAACTACACTTACCCACCTTACAGTCATTTAGACGACTGTACCACACAGTGAATGTGTTGAATGTTGTGTCAGCAAACTGTTTTCTATGCCTGTGTACGGTTCCTGTACTTCCTGAAAAAAAAATAGTGAAAATTAAATTTAGATACTTTTAAATTAATAACCATGTTTTCCTTGAGAGTTACTGTTATTCACACTTAGATGTTAGATGCTCACTATTCCTAATAATATCTGAGTAAGCATTTCCACCATCTGTGCAGCAGAGGTCAGCAAAGCAGCTTTGTTCCTCAACCTTGTTTTGTTGGGGACTAGTTTTGTAGACGCAGTCAACATGCCAATGTCTAAGTTGTGTTTAATATGTTTTAGATTCATGCTTGAAAGAGATGACATTTCTATTGATAAATAGCAGCTCATTTAATTTGATTTGAAGAAAAAAAAAACAATAAAAAAAAGAGTTTTACTTAACATTGTTTTTGTTCTTGAGTTAAAACTAGTTATCAAATATCACCGGGTCTTTATATTGATATCTGAAGCAGATTCATGAGAAACGATGCAGGTATTTTGAGTCAAAGGAAAACTTCAAATGTCTGTGATGTGCTGTAGTGATTAAAGCTACAGGAGTCCATATTCTTTTTAGTTATGTCGTTTAAGCTATAAAAGAACTCCTTAAATGACATGTCGAAAGACACACGTCGTGGTTGTGGAAAAGATGTTAGTGTGTTTGAGAAGGGTCAAATCATTGGCAAACATCTAAGGAGATTGCAGAAACTGCTAAAACTGGGTTAAGAACTGTCCAACGTGTTATTAAAAAATGGAAGTATATTGGGGGCCCATCGTCTTCGAGGAAGAAATGTGGCCAGTACAACCCCCCCCCGAATGATCGTGATCAGCACTCACTTAGACGTTTGGTGAAATCACATCAAAGAAAAACTACAGTAGAACTCAGGGCTATGTTTAATAGTGAAAGTAAGAGCATTTACACACGCACAATGCGAAGGGAACTTAAGAGATTGAGTCTGAACAGCTCTGTAGCCATAAGAAAACCACTAATCAGTAAGGCAAACCGGAAAAAAAGGCTTCAATTTTCAAGGGAGCATAAAGATTGGACTCTGGAACAATGGAAGAAGGTCATGTGGTCCGAGTCCAGATTTAGCCTGTTCCAGAGTGATGAGCGCATCAGGGTAAGAAGAAAAGCAGATGAAGTGATGCACCCATAATGCCTAGTGTCTACTGTACAAGCCTGTGAGGGCAGTACTATGATCTGCGGTTGCTGCAGTTGGTCAGATCTAGGTTCAGCAACAGTATGTGCTCCAAGAATGAGGTGAGCTGACGATACTGAATGACCAGGTTATTCCATCAATGGATTTTTCCTTCCCTGATGGCCCTGGCATATTCCAAGATGACAATGCCAGGATTCATCGGACTTAAATGGTGAAAGAGTGGTTCTGGGAGGATGACACATCATTTTCACACACAGATTGGCCACCAGAGTCCAGACCTTAACCCCATTGAGAATCTTTGGGATGTGCTGGAGAATGGTCAGACTAACGCACGGTGAAAAATTAATGCAACACTGGATGGAAATAAATCTTGTGACACCGCAGAAGCTTATCGACACAATGCCACAGTGAATGCGTGCTGTAATCAAAGCTAAAGGCGGTCCAGTGAAATATTAGAGTCTGCGATCTTTGTTTTTCTAGCCAGGCAGTGTATCTTTTGCTCTTTGGCTGTTCATCTCCCCTTCTTGTCTGCTTTTTGCCTCTTTCCTTCTTTCAGAACACTTTTCTTTTTTTTCTCCTTGATCATACTTCACATTACGGTTATATGTTCACGTTTGTCTAAAAACAACAAAAAAAATGTGATCACAATAAAAGCGTAACGACTGCATGAATAACTAAATAATGCAAGAGGTCAACAAGCAGTTAGAATGAACTCAGAGTAAAAGCATTAGTCAGACACTTTTATTATAATATTGATCCTTATTTTTTTAAGCAGATTTTAGAAGGTAGATTATTTTTATAGACTAACACATTTCAGGCCCAGCAACAGCAGCAACACAACCCCACACTTGACAAAAGAATTTACACATTATCAAGAATCTTTGATCCTAGATGCACTATGTAAAATAAAACAAAAACACAAAAACCCCAAACTTCCAATATAAGGCACCTTAATCTCACACCTTTTCTAAAACAAACATCACTTTAAAATCTTCGCTTTACACATCCTTGTTACGTCTGACGATTTTAAAAGTCTAAAAATAAGCATTTGTACCCTTAGTTTAGCTCCCTTAAACTCGATAGTGTTTACGTTGGCTGAACACTGATCACGTTGTCATAATGTAGAGAGACTGTAGCTCACTGTGCAGCCAGCTTTTTGAATTCATTGAAGACTTAGACATGAATAATTCTACGCAGTCATCAGCATTTAACAGTCAGTTAAACTGGATACTGAGCCCCGTGATTGTGACCCGAGCTCCTTCAGGCAGCAGTGCAAGTTTCTATTCCTCTCAGGATTCTGACTGTCTTTCATTCTCTTCCTGATGAGAGCAGCAGCATCTCCAGTGGCAGTTGGCCACTTTAAGGGAGAGGTGAAGAAGGGCTGCAGAAGTTCCTGGTTGGTTTTAAGTGTCATTCCAAACAGGAAACGCAGGAAAATGTCCAATCTGCCGTCCTCGCACTGCAGACTCCTGTCCACAGCGTTCTTGTACATCTCCGAGGGTGTGGGCCCCCTGAACATCCCCTTAACTTTGTTTTTCGGTTTCTCCTCGAAAACGTTCTTCCCGAGATTTGCGAAGGTGAGCATTGCATAAAGAGCAGCCAGGTACTCCTGCATGGTGGGGTGGATAAAGCTCAAGACATTCTCGTTGACCAGCACGTATGGCTTTGTGACATACTGCGTGCACAGGCCTGTGTAGGGCACTGCCTCCTGATCGTTGATGCCATTTTCTTTCCAGTCAGTCTGTGTTATCTTGTACTGGCCGTGTTCCAGCATTGAGAAGGCCAGCTTTCCAAGTTTAATAAGAAAGTCTCTCTCTTTATCGACGCTGTTTTCTGGAGCTCTCCATTTGCGATTCTGACGCAGGAGTGCAAACAGCAGCTTTGTGTACATGTAGGTGATGCTGTTTGGTAGCTCTGCGTTTGTGCCCTTTTCTTTAAATACGCGCTGGCACTCATCGGCCACTATAGAGCAGAACAAGGGCAGGTGGCACATGATACGGAGGGTTTTGGTAGAATTGATATAATCAATAACTCGAGCTGCTTGGTTTGAGTCCTTAAACCTCTTCTGAAAGTACTCGTCCCGTTGAGTGTCACGGAAACCAAGTACTTCTATCTCATTGTAGTGCACATCCCATGGGACGCAGGCTCGTACATATGGCCGAGTAGTAACCAAGAACAGGCCGCGGTAAAGCAGCCTCGCTCTCATGAGGTTGACCACGATGACCTTCAGATTGCTGGTATCTGTGGGGTCACTCAGAAGCTCTGTGTTTTCAAAGTCAATCTTCCAGTGGTACTCATCCAGTCCGTCTAAGACAAACATCATTTGGCATTCGTCGCACCTGTAATCCCCATCTCTCAGTTTTTCTGTTGCCGGGTAGAGTTTTTTAACTAAGCCTGCCAAGGAAAGTTTTTCGCCCTCAAACTGTTTGAGTTCTCTGAATGGCAAAGGAAACAAGAAAGTCACGTGCTTGTGTGCTCGTTCTTCAATCCAATCGAGGACTAACCTTCTGACTGCCATAGACTTCCCTGATCCTGCCACTCCAGTGAGCAATATAAACCTTGAACTTGAGGTCTCCAGATAGTTAGGAGTTAAAATATCTGCAGTAGAAATCTCCTTGGGTGCTTCCTGGTTGCTGTCCAGCTTTCCTATTTTCATGACCTCGTGTTCGATATTGGGGCCATTATCACACGTGGAAACAATTTTGAGAGTAGTATGAACATCGTCAAAGGGCCTCTTCTCACCACCATAATCCTCACATACTTCACCGTATTTCTGCTTCAGACACTCGGCTAATTCGTAGCGTACTTCATCTGAAAAAAATAAAGAAAATAAAATGTGCATACATGAAGAAGTTTGTGCAGATGTGTCATCATTGCTTTCATTAAGGTTAAATTAGCAGCCAAAACAAGACATTAAGGCATACTCAAGGCCACTTACTTCTAAGGCACAAAGTATCGACATATTCAACCAGCTTCTTTTTCCCCATCTCGGCCAGATGGGTTTTGGTGATCTGGAATGAATTTTCAAGGCTGTAACGCTCGAGTAAGCGGTCGACCAGGTCCACTAGGTCCGTGTTTTGTGGAGGAGTGTTGAACGACTGCGGGTAATACTTCCAAAGCTTCCTTTTGAATCCCATAAGTTCAAACTCTGACAGCTTTCCAAGGGTTTTTGAGATGGCCTAAACCCAAAACAGCAGTCAAATATAACTATGTCTATATAGTGCTTGTTTTTATCTTTAACAAAAAATGGACAAAGGCAAAAAAAGAACAGTGACTGACCTTAAAAGTGAAAGGAATTGTTAGAGATGGATGCCTTTTCTCACTTTTGTTTTCATTTAACTTGTTTGTGTCAGAAGATTCAGGGACATCCTCTTTGCTCCTGGCCCTAGTGCCGTCACAGTGAAAATGTGGCAAAATATTTTAGTGACAATACTGGAAAAAGACACACACAGTAACATGTGCAAGTTTCTTACTTGCGAATCTTCTTTTCACAGTCGTCACTGTCAACGGAGTAACAGCTGGAGTACGAATCTGCTCTCTGTCGGCGGACACTAAAAACAGGGAGACAAAGCGGTGTTTAAATGAAGTGTTTCACTCTCTTTCCAGGAATTAATTTAACAGAGACAGATTTGGTCCCCTCTGAATATTCTTAATGAAAAGCTTGTGTATTTTTTGGATAGGTTGCTTGGACTATTAATCCATCTTCTTTAACTGGAAAGTACTTTGGTTCAACTTAGTGTTTTTGTTTTTTTCCCCCTTAAAAAAATTGCTTTCTGATTAAAACTGACATGACTTGTTTGCACCTTGTGGAAGATGTGTCGTCTTCTCCCATTTTGTCTGACTCTTCGCTTGTCATTGTGCTGTAGCTCTGAGCTGGAGACAAGGCCTGGTCCACGTAATACCTAAAAAAGAAGGAATGGTAGAATGACAGTTCTTTTAG